TTTTATTATTGTCTATGCTCTTGAGGTTATTTCCATCTATAGTATCTGCCCTTTGTAACAATGTTCAGTGGGCATGTCTTTCCAACTCTGCATATCTTAAAATCAGCCATAGTGGGAGTATTTACCCCACAGAAATTGGCAAATGCCATAAACCAGGGCTTGATTTACTGTTTTGTTGATTCTTGCTGGGCACTAAAATATTATAGCAATGGGAGAAAGGTTACTAATGCAGATTAAACTTAAAAGTGTATCATATCTGTAGCCATTACATTGTGAATAGCACAAAAAAATTAGGAACTATTTTTCTAGTATTTGATAACCATTATCCAGTTCAGCAAAGAAGCTGCTCATGTCATGGATGAACAAGTGATGCTCCAATATATATATCTTTGTTGAATCACTTTTTTCTTATTGGTTACCTTAAATGAAAATGTCAATCAACATTCATGTTGGAACTAAATCATCGGTTGCAACTATAGGTTGGTTAGGGGTATAAATGTTCAGCAAAAATCAATGACAACATTCTGTGAGAAAAATTGGTTATATGTAATTTATAATAAAGACTATCATATATTTTATTATCATTAATAAAACTGCATGCTACACATCCTTCATGTCAATAAAATTTATACTAAATTATATATATATATATATATATATATATATATGCATAGACACCCCCCCATCAAGAGTCAGTTGAACATTTATCAGCACACTATTGCATGAAACAATTTCTTAAAACCAATTTTGGTTCTGTTTTCTGGTGTATGTGTGTTTTCTTTAAGTTTTTTGTTTTGATTTGTTTTAAAATATCCATAGTGAAAAGCTATAATCTCTTTAAAAGTCCATGTAAAAAAATGTTTTTACTAGAGCACTCAAAAGGTAAACTGTAAAAGTTGTAGGATAGTAGAGGGTTTCTAAAGAACGATTATATTTAAGTTCAAGTAATAGCTAGATCTGGAGCTGGCAGAAGGAAGGGGAAGTTCTTTTCTTTTACCAGGAAGTAAGAAAATAGCCACATTCAGAGTTGATAAGTTTAGTGCACTTTTGTTCTGTCCACTGTAGCCATATGAGGAAAGGAACAGAGGAGTCAAAAGGAACTGGCAAGTAACGTTCTAATTAATATGGAGTCTAGAAAGGCAATAAGTTCAGTGGTATAAATATGAGAACCATTAGTCTGTGCTTGCGAAGGAGTAAAACAGGAATAGTAAGAAGCTGTAAAGGCTTTTGATTCCAAGCTAGCCAGAAACCCTGATCCCAGCAGTCTCTTAGAGGGCTTTATTCCAGATCGGAATTAGTAGTGACTTGGAACAAACCTTCTAAAGAAGTTTGGAGTAAAGACCCTGATTAGCTCTAACACCGATCTATACAGATATGAATGAGTAAAAAATGAACCAAATTATGTATGTGTATGTGTGTATTTCTTTAGAAATTTGGTTTACAAGAATATCTATATGACTGCTTAGTATTTACCTATTTTTAGAAAGACTTTTTTTTTTTTTTCTGTTTGGTGGGTGTTGAGGTGGGGGATAGTGGTGAAGAATAGGATCCCATCTCATTTTTCCCAGGAGGAACAGAGCTGTCACCTGCACAAAGATGTTGAGCAGAGAAAGTCAGAGTCATGGGTGACAGATCTTCATCCTCCCAAGCCAAGAGTGTGGAAGCCACTGGAGACCTGGCTGAGAACCCAGGCCCCACTACTCCTAGCCGTAGAATGGTGGAGAAGGTATACAGCTTCACTGAGCTTAAGCTCCCTCATTTATAACACCAGGATAACAATTTGTTAACAATTTGTTGTTGTGAGGATTCAATGAGATATTACATATAAAGTATATGAGATATTACATATAAATTTGTCTGTTATCTATGTATGTTTATATGTACATTAATTATCTATAGAAGAGACAAAAGCTGGCAACAGCCACTGCCTCTGAGAAGGGAGAGGTGCACTTCACTGTATTATCTTTTGCTGTGGTCATGCATATATTGCTTAAATATGTATAATCTATACAATCTTTAAATTGGGTAGTAGAATGCTGAACACATAGATGGTGTTCAATAAATGTCATTTCCTTCTCTTTTTCTTCTCAACTAACTGCCCATAAGGTACAGATTTTGTTATATGTACAACATTACTCTCTCTAAGACTTTACTGTAGTCTGCCCTAATTGCAGGTGGTACAACACCTCCTGAAGATTGCGCTGGCAAAACTAAACATATAAAGGGATAAAAATAAACTTTTTAAAATTTAATACCCTTTTTATTTTTCCAACCAAAGTTCTTGAATGAGTCGAATATTTTCTAAATGGTCCACACTTGGATATGGTTCTTTGACTACATAATTCAAGCCCAATTCAGAACGTTCTTCATCTAGGAAGTTCTTAATAACTAGAATTTTTAAAGGGGCTAAGGATTAAAAAATTAACAATAAGTACTAGTTATCGAACATTTACTTTAAGGCATGCATCATACTAGGTGCTAAACTAACATCTCATTTAATACCCCCTATTATAATTCACATTCTATAGGTGAGAAATCTTGGGCTCAGTGAGGTTAAACAACTTGCCCAAGGTCCCATAGCTGGCATAGTCTGTCTAATTCCAAAACTAATGTTCTTTCCACTATGCCTTCCGTCCAGACACAACCTGATTCAATCATTCTCTATTAATTGGGCACTTATAATTGTCAGGCACTGTGGAACCTGGGAATATTATGATACATTCATAATTTTATTCAACAAATAACTTCTGGAGCATCCACTATGTGCCTGGCAATATAGGTGCTGGGTATACACCAATAAACTTAACATACAAAGTCTCTGCCTTTATGGAACTCACATCTTAATGGGTGAACTATATACCTGAATTGTATCTATTACAATATGGATTAGTCACACTTCTGTCTTTTTCTGCTATGAGGCAGATGGACAATGAAATCTTTGAGCAATAGCCCAAATGTCTTCTATGCTAGAAACTAGTGCTGCCCACTAGAAATGTAATGTGATTCACTATATCATTTAAAATTTTCTAATAACCATATTTTAAATAGTGAAAATAAACAGGTAATATTAATTTTATAATGCATTTTATTTAACCCAATATATCCAAAATGTCATTTGAACCTGTCCCCAAGATACGGCTTATTGAAATATTTTATATTCTGTTTTTTGGTTCTAAGACTTCAAAATCTGGTATGCATTTTACTCTTGCAGCACGTCTTAGTTTGGACTCACCACATTTCAGATGCTCGAGAGCCACATGTGGCTAGTGGCTAACAGATTGGACAGGGCAGTTCTAGATCAGTCCTTCTCAAACTTTAGCACATATAGGAATAATTCAGAGAGAGTATTAAACAGATTCCTGAGCTTCATTCACCCCTCAAAGGGCTGGAGGCAGAGGGCAGGGCCTGAGAATTTGCATTTCCAAAAAGCTCCCAGGTAATGTGGATACTGCTAGTCCACAGACCACACTTTGGATAGCATCGCATAACAAATCACACACATCTCCCAGTGAATTGTGGCAATTATAATGATGATAACAAATAGCTCTAATATTTTACCTTTAAAAAGCATTTTTTATCAGCTACTAGAGAAATTCAAATTAAAACTAAAATGAAATGTCACTACACAACCGTCAGATGGCCTAAATGAAAAATAATGATAATACCAAATGCCAGTGAAGATGTGGAAAAACTGCATCACTCATATGTTCCTGGTGAGAATGTAATGTAGAAAACAGTTTGTCAATTTCTTTTAAAACTGAAAATGGACTTACCATATGACTTCATTCTAAAGCATTTATCCCAGAAAAATAAAAACTTATTTCATGCAGAAACTTGTACACAAATATTCATAGCAGCTTTATTTGTAACAGCCCCAAACTGGAAACAACTAAAATGACCCTCAATAGGTAAATGGTTAAACAAACTAGTACGTCCATAGCATGGAATACTATCAGCAATAAAAGGGTATAAACCATTAATATATGCAATAGTTTGGATGAGTTTCAGAGAAATTATGCTGAGTGATAAAAACCAATCTCAAAAGGATACATACTTCATGATTCCATTTGAATTACATTTGTGAAATACCACAATTATAGATATGAACAAATTGTGGTTTCTAGGTTGGGGGGAGAAAGAGGGAGGTAATAGGTGTGGCTATAAAGGGAGAACATGAAGGAATCTTGTGATGGATACAGTTAATACCTTGATTGTGGTAGTGGTTACACAAAGCTACACCTATGATTAAATTGTACAGAGCCACACACATACTCACATATAAATGAGTGTATGTGTACCTGATGAGATCTAAATAAGCTCTATAGATTGTACCAACGTCAATTTCCTGGCTTTGATATTGGGCTATTGTGCTGTAGTTATGCAAGGTGTTAACACTGGGCGAAGGCGACACAGAACCTCCCTGTATGTTTCTTTGCACCTTCCTATGCATCTATAATTATTTCAAAATAGAACTTTGCATACACTGTCTCATTTGATTCTCACAATAACTCTGGGAAGTGAGTAGTATGATTATTGACATTTTATAAAAAAGAAAAACAACAAGACCCAGGGGACAAACTGCTAATGAGAGTACATAGCAAAAAATTGGCAAAGCTAGGACTAAAATAAGACTGCATCCTCTTTATAAGTTCTGATGTATTTATTAATATATAAGTATTTATAAATATAATAAGGTTTAGGGAATCCAATTATAATAAATATAGGTATTCTTTAGATTGCAAATTTGCAAAGTAAAAATAAAAGACAAGCCCTCTGTCCTCCCATGACTTACGATAGACTTGTAGGTTGTAGCACTTGGTGATGGTCTGGGAAAAGTTCTCTATGTATATGCGTATGTCTGCCTTGTAGTCTCCTGCATCTTCCATCCGCAGATCGTTAATGACCAGGTTGTAGTTTTGACCTAAGACACGTATTCGTTCATCATAATTACTGTGAGTCACAAAAACTTTGGGTGCTGTTCCTGAGTCTCCTGGTGTTACAAAAGCAACAGATGTTCCAGAAGTCCAAGTAATGCTGGTAACTTGCTGCGATTCTTGGATATTTAAGGGGAAAGTGACTGATTCCCCCAGAATCCCATTCACAGTGAGGAAGTCTGCATCTCTTCTAGCTGCTTCTGGGCCTGAGGACACAAATGGAAAACTGTAGCCATCTGACTGTTGTACCTTTTAGAATTCCTTGTCTTCCCAGCCTTGGTTCTCCCTGAGGAGCTGCCAAAGATGCAGCTCATCTAGTTTCTTAAGGATGCCTTTTTTTTTTGACTTCTACTTTGGGTACACTTAATATGTTATGACAACTAACTCATTCAAAACCTAAGTTTCTGAGTTAATTTCTAGGGATCCATTTTATTAAAAACATGTTTACCTAGATTTATAGACTCTGGAAGTTAGAAGGCATTTGAGAGATGAAGGTCACCACCTCCACAAGGTCTAAAATATTAGGAGTATTTCTTTCCCAAGATCATATTGCCAAGTGGTGGAAGAGCTGCAACAAGAACGTGGAATATCTGGGCTGATGGACGCTCGGGTTATTGCCTTTTCTTTTACTGTGATCTTTGCAAAAAGCAAGTTACATTTTGCCTCTCTTCTTGGAAGATACAGGCAGGGAGTGCTTTGGAGATTCTGGGGAAAATATTCTCCAAGTTAGTGATTTTTGGGGGTCTTTTTTTGTTCACTTCTATATCCATAGGCTCTAGAAGAGTACCTGACATATAGAGGGTGCTTAATAAATATTTGTGGAATGAATTAATAAACGGAATTCACTCATGTGTTTCCTAGACTCTCTTGAAACAATTTCTGAAGCAAGCAAATTCATTCATTCATTCATTCATTCATTTATGAATTAATGTATATATTCATGCAGGATCAGTTTTGGTGCAGATACTATGATGGGTATTTATTAATTTAATTTGTAATACAGATGTTTTTTGAGCTTCTACATTTTTAAGCAAGATATAAGGAGTTGGGGTTACAATGGTGGGTAAAAACAAATATAGTTCCTGCTCTTTACAACTTCCAGTTAAGGGAAGATACCAGCTTTGATCAGGGGACCATGCAAACAAATGGACAAACCCAAAATATGTGAGTATCATGGTGCTGCCAGAGAGAATAGCCAGGGAACTTGGTCTGTTCTGGAAATCCAGGGAACATTTCCGAGTGAAAGCTGAAGGATGAGTACTTTTGAAATGTAACATGGGAAAATGAAAAGCTTATTTTCTTCTCCTTTTCCTCTCCTCCATCACCTTGTGAAGATAAACTGGTTTAATACATAGTTTGTAAAATGAGAGGCAATATAATTACATTTTTTTCTGCCCTTCCTCCTGCTCATGTTCATTATCGTGTCATTCTCAATGAGCTGTCTGTAGTGAGAAACAGTGTTTGGGGCCAGCACGGGCAATATTCAAAACATCTAACAGGCGAAATGACATGGGCACTGATCCATCAGAAAGGGCATCAGCTGTAAACAACTAGTGGGGCTATTCAGTGTGCACTGGCTGCATGGAAGTTCTGAAGAGGATAAGTTTTCCACATAACTGAGTTCAGGCTGACCCTAGAGTTTATCCAGGGTTTGGCATACAGAGGGCAAGAATAAGGATCATTGAGAATACAAGTTGCTTTGAAGGGTCACAAAAACAAAAGGATTTCTTAACCTGATGGTGCCATCTCACTATGGCTGCCCTTGCCCATCAGCAACCATTGACAGAGACCCAGGGACTGCAAATGTCAACCTCTTTCCTTTCAGACCAACAAAGATTTTTCCCTTAGCAGGAATATCTCAGGCAAGGCCTGATGATTTAGTTGTGGTGGTCTAAGAACATGAGATATAACAGGGCCCTGGGGGGCAGGGAGTTATGGGTAGGGGAAGATGGGGACCCTTATCTACAAATATTTATTAAGTGTTAACTACCTGCTGATGTGTTGTGTTAGCAACATGGGGATAAACAGGACATCATTGCAACTCCGAGGAGCTCACAGCCCAGAGAATGAGATAGATGTGTAAACAAATGAAAGGTAATACAATGTGATGAGTGCTAAATGGTAAGAGCAATAGGGACAAACTTTTGGGGGGGTCAGAAAGAGGCTAAAGCTGCCTTTGGTGGTAGAAGTCATAGTTTGCCAAAATCCTTGAACATTAATTCTCCCCAGATAAACCATTTTACTGGGCTGATGATTTCTGTAGAGGGGCACTTGGATGACCCAGGCATGGGCATGTGATCTGTGTAGTTGCACAGAACCCTGAGCGCAGAAGGACCCTGAACTGGCTTTATGCTGCTATGCACCCTGAAATTCTTAATACTATATGAAAAGGGGGGGCCTCATTTTCATTTTGCATGAGGTTTCACCAATTATCTAGCTAGTTCTGGTCTCAGATCTCCCATGTCTCAAGGCAGTTTTAGAGTCAGGCTCTAGTGTCTAATCACCAGTCACTTCACTCTTTGGATTCATATTAGGTGTGAGGAGTTGGTTAGAACATAGGTTCCACAGACTCATAATTCTCGTGGGTTCTCTCACCAAACCTCAGGAAATGGGTAGGCTGTTCACTAAGGCTGAGACTTACTTAATATTATGACAGTTGAGCAGCCTCAAATGGTTGGTATGTGGTGCAGTTTTAAAAGTATGTCTCATTTCCCATAGCAAGGCACTCAGGAAGTGATGCTGAGATATCAAAGGGCAATCAGGCAGCAAAGCTGGGGAAGTCCTGCTTTTTGTGTTGCTTGTGCTGTTGACAAGAATACTGTGCTTGTTAAGAAAAGGCAAAGGGTTTGCACATGCATAAAATGAAGAGTCTGTCACCTTCAAACACTCCAGCTGTGCTCTGAGAAAGGCAACTGCAAAACCATAATATGTAGTGGAAAGATAAGGAGGCAGAGATGTGGGTGTCTGTACTTCTACTTATGAGCTGGACAACTTGAGAAAGTCACAAAACCTTTCTGAGTCTGCTTCTACATCCACAGAATGGAAATAATAACTGTAGTTTCCCTATCTATTTAGTGAGCAGCAAATGATGTCATACAAGTAGAAGTGTTTTGTTAACTACCAAGGCAAAATAAATGTTAGTTATTTCTGAGGTTGATAATGATTCATCGTCTTAACAATTGGTACATGCCCTTTGGGGCTTCCCTAGGCCATCCTTATGATGGCCTTGGTGATGCCAGGGTCGTACTGGGGCATGTATAAAGAGCCATTTCTAAGGGCTAATTCAAGTAAAGCCTGGAGGGACAGTTTTAGGTACTCTTGATAGACTTTATTCTACACTTAAAAGACTTCCATTTTTAAAAGAAAGAATCTCCATATTAATCAACACCAATATTTATTTTTTAGGTGCTAAAGGAACTCAAACATTATGTTGTCATTGGAGGGAACCTTAGAAAACCCAATTTCAGAGAGAACTTGTAGCACAAAAATGTCTTGAGGACTTACAAATGAAATACACTGTGTTAGTCTATGACAAAGATAATTTCTCTGCCTTTTTTGGAGAACCTTATACCTGGTTACAGAAATAAGACACACATACACATAACTCTCCCCTGAAATATGAGATAGTATGTGATAAATTCAAGTGAATAGTAGAGACTATAATTGCAGTAAAAATTCAAAAAGGGAAAGATTACTTTGAGCTATAGTGGTCAGAAAAAACTTCTCAGACACTTCATATAGAACCAGAGAAGACCCTGTATAGCAAAAGCAATCTTAAGCAAAAAGAACAAATGGGGAACATCAATTTACCAGACTTCAAGCTATACTACAAGGCTATAGTAACTAAAACAGCATGATATTGGCACAAGAACAGAGACATAGACAAATGGAACAGAACTGAGAACCCAGATATAGAACCATCCTCATATTTTCATCTGATCTTTGACAAAGCAGACAAAAACATACACTGGGGAAAAGAATCCTTATTCAATAAATGGTGCCAGGAAAATTGGATAGCCACATGTAGAAGACTGAA